TTAAATAAAAATTTAATATTTAAATTTATAATTAATAAAGTTCTGTTGTAAACTTTATACCTGATATTCATCACCAATTCCTTCATTGACCAATTCCTTGGACTGCCCAAACCTCGTTTGATTTCCAGAATTCCAAGAGATGCCAGACAAGTTGTTTAAACCAATTAAGCTCAATGCATTGATAGGCTGTTAAAAAAATTCTCCTCTAAGGATGTATGGACAGCCTTTCTTTTATTCAGCCACAAATCTTTCCAAATTCCTGCTGTGAATGGTAATTTTTCACTACAAATATTAAACTAGTATCTTCTAATATCAATTATGAACCCCTTGATATCCTAATTCACACCTGCAACAAAAAACAAGACGATTTAAATTTCAAGGAAAAGCTAATCGATAATAAAATAAACAATTTGGACATAAATGGTGCTCTCAAACTATGTATCTCCTTTGACACACTTGCTCTTGTGGACATGATGTCATACCAAAGACTACTAGACAAGCATCCCCAGACACTGGAAGCTATAATGATTTATGAAACCAAGAACCTTTCTCCGATTTTCACTTCGGAAGAAGTATTTAAATCAGTGAGATTTTTTCGGAAGGACGCGGCTCCTGGATTTGAAGGTATCAAACCTTTATTTCTTCAAGATTTAACTACTCCCATCCTCAACAGTCAAACTTCTTTGATAAAATAACTCAATTAAGCAACAAAGTCATTAATGGTGAGGTCCCAGATTTCGCAAGGGCCCTTTTTTTGGAGCCAAACTTGTCGCCCTGAGAAAAAAGAATGGTGATATTAGGACTATTGTCGTTGGTGCTGTATATAGGAGATTATGTTCCAAGCTTATAGCTAGCAGGATTTCTGCACAAGTTTCTAATATACTTCTTCTACTTCAATTAGGTGTTGGAACGAGTTCAGGATGTGAAGCGACTGCACATATAACTCGTATTCTCTGAATGCTACAATCGCTCAACACCTTGTTAAATTCGACTTTAGAAATGCTTAGAATAGCATTCACAGAAAAGTAATCATTTCACAATTTATAAAACATTTCCCAGCTTTTACAAACTATATCTTTTCATCCTATAAAAACCATCCCATTTGGTATTTCGCCATTATATCTTAACCTCTTCTGAAGGTATTCAACAGGGTGATCCCCTAGACTCCATATGATTTTGTCTGGATATCCATGATTTGATCCCTAAAATAAAAAATGACTGCAAAGCTCGTTTTATGAGAGCATTGCATCTGTTATGCCAGATTGAGCGTCCACGGCTAAAGATGCATTGGAGGCAATGATGACCAGTTTGACTTACTGGCTTCTTGCACTTGGTGCACTTATATAAAACTGAGATTGTCACATTTAAGCGAATGGCTACAGCAAAACTGAATTCTTGATTTGAAAGTTCAAGGTCAAGATTTTTAGAGGGGATGGCGTCCAAGTATTCATGTCCTGAACCTTGGTTGAGGGAAGCTAATAGGGCATGATCTTCAGGTAGCAGGGTCGAGAGGTAATCAACTGACCTTGCAATTATCGGATTATCACAATCCTTTTGTTTATGGGAGGCTGGTGGTTGACATTCATCTCCGACTGAGGCTTTGCATATGATATAGGCTATCATGCAGTGCATCTGGCAAGGACAGGTGATCAGTTATTATTTTGGAGCTTGTCAATATGGACGAGATTAAACCACTAATTGATAAGGCTATGGGTGATCGTCCTCCTTTATTGCAGGGGAGAGTGGCTTGATGACACGAATTGGAGTTAAATTTGAGATTAATTATTTTTTCCATGATTATGGATTCATATGCTTTTAAGGATTTAGGATGTTTAAAAACAGCAGTTCGCAAAGCATATAAGATCTTTGGTATATTGAAGAAATTTTAAATTAAGAAGAAAGATTTAAATGTGGGAAGTTGTATGAGTAGTTCCTCCATATCGTTTAAATTATTTGAAGTAGCTTGGAAAAAGGTTTCAACCGCTAACAACTGATGAGCCAAGATGTGTTAGTTCTTCGGCCATAACGTCTTTAAAGGCGTGGCAGTTGGGAGATTGAGAGGTGAGCTGACAGAATTCTGTTTTGTCGACGTTTATGAGAGCCTATGGGTACATCCTTTTGCAAAATTTCTAGGGCTTTGTCTATCTCTTCTGGGCTGTCACTTATAATCCCATCATCTATGTACCAGAGATGAAGATCTAACAAGGCAGCTTCTTTTAATTTTTTTAAGATTGTCTATTCCTAGACAGAATAATATCGACACTGGGGAATCACCCTGTTGAATTCCTTCTGAAGAAGAAAGTCTATATTCACCATATTGTAAAATGGAGGGATTCGCATAGCAGTTTAAGCATGGGGTGATATTGATGAAGGATTTTAGGAAGAAACACCTTTAATTGTGTTGTATGCATTGTTAAAGTCAATTTTAATTAGGTATTTATTAAGAGGATTATTTTGAAGATAGATGCGGGTTATTTGAGCGGCAGACTCACAGCCCCCTTTGGCACCAACCTCTAGTTGAGTTGAAGTGAGAATTGTAGACTTTCTTATTGATTCGAGCAGAAATTAATTTTGATAATAATCTCCTAAAGAGGGTGTCTATGGCAATTGGGCGTAGGTCTTTGTTGGGTTTTGTAAGAGCGATTAGTTTCGCTCCAAACATAATTGGCTGGACGAAGATAGGAACGTCATCATGTAAGGTCCTGTTACAAAGGAGAGTTATACTGTTGAATAGGATAGTTTGAGAATTTAGGAGAGGGATGGTTGTCTTGAAGGTATATCGGTCTCATGCCCAAAACCTGCAGAAGATTGCTTTTCTCACTTCCTCTGAGGTAAATTCTATTGGATAAGATGTGGGATTTACACCAGGTTCAGTTGTAGATGCCTGATGTGGGCAGGGGGGGGGGGGGGTGCTTCATAGTCAATCGGGTATAGGTTTGAAAATTAAAGGGGCCAGTGTGTCTGAGGAAGAAGCCAGACGAAGTGTCCCTTTTATATTTAAATTGTCGATTTTTTCCCCACTAAATTTACTTATCTTAAAAGGATTTATGGATAACTTAGGTGTGGTGGTTATGTTGAAATGTTGTCTAGATCATTTAACCTGTTCTTAATTTTGAGTGATGGACAGTTTGCTTTTGTCAATTGGAACCGGAAGCTTGGAAGCCAAATAAAAATAATATATATTATATAATATTTAAAAAAAATATTAAATCTTATCAAAATATTTAAATATAAATAAAATAAATTATTTTACTAAATATAAATAAATATTAATTAATGCTAGGCATATCTTGCAGGGTGATAATATAATTAAGCAAAGTCTTTCATGATCTGTTATATAAGTAACTATATCAAATATTTTTTTACCTCACCCTAGTAATAGTTTCACCTATCAAGAGGTAGTGCTTGGTTTGTTACCTATTCAATAGGTCTTTTAATTATCTATCGATTGATACCTCTAATTACCATATATTTATATACTTTAATAAGTTCAATAAGAAATGTTAGATATGGGTCTGAACCCCTGTTATGCTCGGGATTTATGCTTATAGCGATTTAGTCGATTTTTAGAGCCAAGCGCCAGGTCTGGGTATTACACAACCAACCAATTAACAACACTAATATAAGTAATCTCGAGTTTTGAGTCAATTTTTTGACTAAAAACTCGACTTGTGTCGTAGTTAAGCCGATTCGGCTGAGTCGTTTAACAACACTACTTAAGGCAAAGGATCGCAATAGCTATTCTTAAGGCTAATTATGTTTGTTTTAAATTCCATCTCTCCCGATGATTAGAGGAAGAGGATTTTGAATATTGTGCTGGTTTCGCTTTTATTTATTTTATATTTTACATTATTTTATTTTAATATTATTTTAAATACACTATTTTTGTAACTTTTAAATTCCCCAACCTATACAATGATGATAATGTATTAGTTGCATTGATTCATCCGAATTTTAAACTAAACTGCCCATATATCAATTTACCATATATCAATTCCGATGATGCTTAAGATCAACGTAATAGACTAATGGTAAAGTTGAATAGTCTCATACCAATAAAGATGGCCTAGTTACAACCACAAAAATGACTTCCACTGGTAATTTTTTTGAAATAAAAGATAGTATAATAGAAAATCCCCTCGAGGCGTTTTTTAAACCTAATAATACTCAAATGAGTATTTTTGATAATCTTTCTTATATTACAAATATGTATATAAAATTAAATACTGCATTGCCCTCAAGTGCTAGTGTTAAGAGATTATTTAATAAGGCGAAACTTATACTTTCTGATCGTCACCTTGGGGGATAATATTGAAATGATTTTATTATTATAATGCAACAAAATAAATAAAAAATGAATATTACCATAAATATTTATTTTTATTACTAAATATTTTTATAATCAAAACTAACTAAATTTAAATATTTGTTAATTTATATATTATTTAATACATAAAAAGTAGCTTAAAAGTAGCTAAAGCTATTTTTAAAAAATAGTAGCTAATAGTGTGCTACCTTTTTTGATGGGTAGCAATAGTGGTAGCGAGCTACTTTTTATGACAATTAGCAGTAGCGGTAGCGTGCTTTAAAAGTAGTGTTTAACAACTCTGTTAAAAAAATTTTATTGGCAGTTTAAAAAATTTTTTTAAATTCTTGACGGACTGATTCATGCCAAGTTTATCTCTAACATATTGTTTGTCCTGATGTTGTAATAATTCTACAATTATTTTTTATTTATTTTTTGATAAGTATGATAGATGGTAATGTGTAGAAATTGACCCTTTTATTATTATTTTGAAGACTGCCTATATATCCTGTCCTTAATGGGGTAATAAAAATAAAATTTATTAAAACACCCATCATAAAGGGGTCATTCGAGAGCGTTATGGTCAGTATATGAATTTAACTCCTTTTAACGTTTCATTTCAACTGTATTCATGCAAATTTTTGATGGTATTAATTATATTGCTATTTTTTATTTTAAAATAATTTAAGCCTACCAGCATCGCTTTTAGATATGCTGGGGGAGTAAAAGGAGGATTCCGAAGAAGTTGGTCTATCACATTCTGGGCAGAACCATTCGGCTATTGGAACTTCCACCAAAATGGGAGTCAAGCAATCCATGTGATACCTTTTTTGTATAATAAAAGAGAAGAAAAGGTTTATATGTCTAAAAGTGAATCTTTGTGATTTTTTGTTTTATTTAGGTTAGTGTGATACTTAAAATCAGAATTGGATTGGCGACTCTCTAATTTTTATGTTACTCTATACTGATTTCTCCTTACATATTTGGCTATGTCAATTGTCCTTTCTAAGACCTATTCTAAAATATTAACAAAATTATCACTCCAAGGTGTTAATGCTAACTGCAGCTCCACCAGACCCAAGGGGAGTGTATAGGGCAGGATTCCCAAAATTGGTTTATTTTGGTCTTAGCTTTATACTAAGTTAAAATTCCAAGGATTCATTCATCTCTCATTATAAATATTAATTATATAATCTAGCCTTTATATAAATTTAAAAAAAGGTCAATTTTTAAATAGTTTTGGTTATAAAAAATACCCATTATTGCATATATCACATAATAAAAGAATTTCTTCTCTGTCCCCCGAATGGCAAACTTCACAATGGGTTGTATCTTCTAAATTATCTTCAAATATGTCCTCTATTTTTTTGATATCAACCATTATCTAGTTCAGAATCATAAAAAATATACATCAACACTATTTTTCATTATAAATGATGTAAAAGATCCAGAGTTGTTAAAGTTTCGAGATTGATAACTATATATTTTAATTAAATATTATTTTTCTTGTTATATTTATGAAAAAAAAAAATATTAAAATCTGCTATAGCATTTTATTCTGAAACTTAACGATCATGAAAAAATAATAGGTAACGATATTCCCTTTTTTGGTCAATAACGTAAAAGTTACATTTTTATAGTAATGGTTACCTTAATGCATTTTTTTATGTTATAGTATTTAAAATTTAAAGCTCTGACAACATGAGGATATTACATATTTATAGCTTAATATTAAAGTAATACAATAAATAATAAGTGCTATCTCATTCGCTATCTTTATATGATTTCCCAAATTTAAAATTATTGTTTATTAATAATGTTACATTTATTATATTTAGCTAAAAAGTTTGCTTAATATGGAAGCATATTTTTGGAGGAAAATGAGCATGCCTTTAAACATTTGAAAATAGTATATTGATAATTATGTCAAAAAAAAATTTTATTAAGCATAAATTCTTTTTTAAATATCTAGTTATTTATATATTTTTTTGGTGTAAAAATATTTTTTTCTGAAATTTGGTGTGAATATCTCCTTATTTATATATTTTTTAGGTGTAAAAAATATTTTTCTGAAATTTGGTGTGTTGGTTGTGTTCTAATATAATAATCTAACATTTAAAACTCTAGTAAATGAATTCATGAGATCTCAAAATCCAATACAGGTGAGGTCTAAGTTTATGAATCTCAAATTACTTGATGTATATTTTCAAATGTATAAAATATATATTTATAGCCCTTAAAATTTAGTAAAAATATTTTTTTTAAATTCATCAGTGTAAATGTATTTCTGGTAAAACAAACATAAGTTATTTTGAGCTAGCCTTACTTTGTGGCGATTAAACCAAACAAGTATGTTATTTATCAATAGATTTAAATATTTAAGAAGGAATTAAAATGGATGAAATAAGAATTTGAATATTATTTTGCTTTTCATTATTTTGGGAATAAAAAAAACTTAATATGGAGGACACTAGCACTAAGAAATAATTGTAATGAAAATTTTTATATAAAAATACACATTTTATAACAAATAATGATTATATACATTAAAATAAAACATCAAACATTAATATAAAAATTATATAAAATAACTCTTTTTAGAGCAATTTAATATTGTAAACACCTATTACAATTTCTTGATATTATGTGTATACCCATAGACTTATGAGCAGGGTTAGGCATTATAGTAAATATTTATATTTAAAAAACCCACAAATATTTTTTGTATTTGTGTTTAGAATTTTTTTGAAAAATTATTAATTTAGTCAGTCTTATTGAAACTTTTTTCTAACACCATATTTTGGGGTGTTTTAAGTATGTACATTAAATAATTATTATGACTAAGAGCTAGTTATATTTTTTGGAATAATAATCATATATCTAATATATATAATCTCCATAATCAAAACATGATCGTTTTCATATCATCTTAACTTTATTAAAATTTAAGGAGACTATATAGTGCAATGTTAATTTTTTGCCATCTACCAGTATTGAACCACAAACTTCCCATTTAGAAAGTACAGCTTTAAGCATGCACCAACTTGAATTATAATGCATTTAAAATAAATTATATATTTTTTTTAAAATTTTGCCGTTTTTTACCATACTAGCTAATAACCCGTAAAGAATGACGGGGTTGAGGGATCCATCGATATTGATTCTCCGGTGGGAGATCAAGGCATAACGGCTCTATAACGATTCTCCGGTGGGAGATCCATCGATATTGATAATCGGGTGGGAGATCAATCAACAAGGGAAACGATATTGATATTCTAGGTGAGATCAATCTACAAGGGAAACGATATTGATACTCTAGGTGAGCAATCAACAAGGAAAACGATATTGATACTCTAGAAGAGATTAATCAACAAGGAAAACGATATTGATCAACAAGGAATACGATATTGATACTCTAGGCGATATCAATCTTACCAAGGCAGCGGTAAATGGAGACCAAAGACTAGGATGTTTTAGGAGAAATTTTAAGTTGTGTTTCCTTTCAATTAATGAAGGGTAAAGGAGTAATTTATTGTAATATTTTATTTACATATTATGTGTTATATTTGTCAGTTACTAATGATAATATATATGGATATTTTATTATGTTTTATAATGTATGATGAGTATAATAATTATGTACGATAAATTTCCTAACATTATATATATGCATTTATCCATATATATTTTCTATTGTGAAAATGGAGGAATAAAATGTCAGAAAGCCAATTAGTGGCGACGGAGAAAAAAGAAAAGAATATATAATGTGAAGCCATTGGGTTTTATCAAATTAACTAAGGGAAATCATTGGAAAATATCATTTTAATGGTAATAAACTATGGTATTATTTGGAAAATACATTAATGGTATATGGATTTATTATTATGCAATCTTGTCTTGAAATATGAATTATGGAAAACAATAATTGATTATACTATGAAATTCCAGAAGAATGAATGACACAATTATTAAAAATGAGAAGGATAAAATTATGAATATGTAGATCTGTTAATAATAATTTAACAATCATTTGGATGTATATGATAAAATGGTATAATCTATTACTTATGGAAATATGGTTTGTGGAAATCTGTTGATAATAATTTAACAATCATTTGGATATATATAATAATATGGTATAATCTATTACTTATGAAAATATTATGGTACAATCTTTTACTTACTTATAAAAATTGATTACTATTTGTAAAATGGACATTATTGGAAAAATTAATTAATAAAAATTTGATGTTTGAAATAAAAAGTAGTAGTTGTATTATTACAAATTATTAGTTAGTTTGTGTATATGGTACTAAATATACTTTATTAATATATTTTATAAGAATATAAAAATTTAGGAGAATAAAAGGTAAAATTGTTGCAATGTAACCTGTGAGCATTAATGGTATTAGGAATATTTAAATTTGTGATAGAAATCATATTGGGTAAAATTTAAAATAGAGATGCCTGAAAATTTTTCATTTTAAATATGGGTTAGACATTTGTCTGAAAATTTTAAGACATAGCCAGGCTGATCAAAAAACCAAGTCTCATGCAATTTTATAAAATTTTGCCATTATTTTTATTATAATTTAATAACAGTCTTAAATTTAATTTTTTAGATGCTTGAAAATTTTTTAATTTTAAATAGGCTAGACATTGGCCTGGAAATTTTTTTTTGCAGACATGGCCAGGCCTGATCAAAAACCAAGGCCCATGTAACTTTCATATTATGATTCTATTTTTAAATGAATATGATTTTTATATATTTTATTTCAGTAGTCAACTACCAAAATTATTATGGTCTTTGGTGGGCTTGAGAATTTTTTCTAGGGATATACCGATATTTTTATCGGATCGTGCCGATATTTCACCCATTTTTAAATATCGGTTATCGGCCAATATTATAAAATTTTCCGATCCGATATAAAATGGCGTCTTTAATCAAAAATAAAATGTTATAAAATTTTTTAAAAAAGTTATATCTAAAATCATTTATTTTTATAAATAAAATCGAAATCCATTTATGTATGTTTTTTTAATAATAATTTAATTAATAAACATTCTGCCATATTGTTATTTTTTTGCGCATTCTGTTTATAAAAGTGTGCGATAATCTCTTCAGAATCTGTTTTTAGGAAGCTGGTGATATTGACAGTTACCAACGCCGCAGGCTGACCTCTGATAAATTGGAAATTTTGGTATTTCTAAAAAGAAATCTTCGATATATTAATGTTAAATATTATTTTTAATATTTACTTCAAATTTCATAATATATTTGTTTATTACTTATTATGTATATAGATTATTGTTATTATTTATTAAATAAAAGTGATTTAACAATAAAAATATTTATACTTTTAGAATTGCAACTAAATATAAACTATAACTGATCATTGATTATGGTATAGTTAAATTATAGATGTTATACTAATAAAAAGTATATTAAAAATTAAAACCATTAGTATCTTTACAGAATACAAAATAAGATATGATATCGGATAGGCAATCGGCCGATATCAATTTAATATCAAGAATATCGGATCGGATCGGCCTCGAAAAAGTGCTATCAGTACACCCCTAATTTTTTCCCAACATTATGATGTGCATGAACCTGGCTTGGGAATTTTTTTAATATTAGAAATTAGGCATAGGTGTAATATTTAACACCGAATATTTATATGTGGCTCAGGTAAAAGCTAATTTAAATATATTTTTACTCAAAAAATAGCATTCACTCTTAGTCTTAATGGGTTGGCCTTGGTCTGAAGTAGGATTGAGCGGGATTAAAAAGTACCAAAAATAGATATGGTTTTAAGAGATTTGCCTATCTCCAGGCTTGGGAAAAAAATTCAAAAATATTATGGGTTGGCCAGGTTTGAGAAAAAATTTTTAAAATTAATATGGTACGGACTGGGCTTGGAAAATATTTTTATAAATATTATTGGACTGGGCTTGAGGAAAATTATTCATTATTATCAACTTGGACACTTGGAAATTTTTTTATTATTAATTATGGGTCAGACATTGGCCTAAATTTTTTTGCAGGCCTGGGCTCGGCCTGATCAAAAAATCAAGGCTCATGAAAATCTGATTTTGATTGTATTTTTATTCATTGTGATTTTTTAAATATTTTATTCCAGTTCTCAACTACCAAAATTATCTGATCTTTGGTTAGTTTTAGGGAAATATTTTCAAAATTATTATAGCCTTGGACCTTGCTTGGGAATTTTATTCATATTAAATATTAGGTAAAGACCTGTGCGCCGGCCGGCCGTTGACCGGCCGCCGATCTTTTTTGATTACGCCGAAAACGACGCCGTTTAAGAAAATCACGCAAAAATTACTTTCATATTTTATATTTTTTTATTCTAATAATTGGTC